CCCCAAAACCCCAAAACCCCAAAATGAAGATATGTCTTGAAGATTTGAATATTGTTCTTGATAAAATAATGCCATGAATAATGAAGCTAATTCAATACGCATTCACATTTTCTAATACATCATCATTATAGCCAATGTTAACAGTTTTTCATAGTATATTTTTCTTAGGAGGTTGACTAATCAATTTAATTTCGTTCTTAAAATCTAATGATGTTATTAGCTCCAAATCTTCGAAATCTAAGTCCCTCACTCTTGTAAGATAATCGTCTCTAGCTAAGAAGCATCGGTAACTGATACATGCACACATGAATGTGCCTATCAGCATCCAATAAAATGTCAGCATGAATGAGAGAAAAGTACCTCTTACTGGAAGGAAATTTTATAAGCATAAATCTGATGATTTGTCAAATAGAATCATATGCATTGCAAAGAATCCGATGAAAAACAGAATATCATTCATTTGAAGATATTTAAGTTAGCCCTCAATCCTTATGATAAGAATTTCATCCTTAAAGTGTTTATTAGATATATAGTTTCTACCTGTCTTTGGATCAGTATACAGATTCTAATCTAGGGCACTGGATGATAGCAGCTGCTCTTTATTTGAATTGTCTTTATCAAACATTGAAATCATCTTAATCAAATAATAAGAATCTTTTCTGTTCTAAATTCTTAACTTCAGTAATGTCAAAGTGCTTCTATATAGCTCAAGCAAGTGGAAAATCGTAAATATCATCAAAAGCATGTTGTATCTGAATGAAACATTCTTGTATTGGAAATCATAGTTTTTATTGTATACCTGATCTGTGTCCTCGTCATATTGACATGACACAGATTTCTCCTTATTCTAGATTTGATTTCCAAAGGCTGAAAGAATCAATAGATTCACAATGACTCCCAGAGAGTGATAAATCATAGTCTACTTCGAAGTCATTTTTTTCTCGTCGACAGATCTGTACGATATAAATGAAGTATTCATGTGTAATGAAAAGTATATGCAATTTTGCTTTATATTAATGTATTAATTAAACACGCTCCTATTTTAATTCAACCTTAGTTTATAATACTCTGAAATTCTGATTAATTCCATTTTTAAATCATTAAATTAATATATTAATCAAAAGCCTCTCACAACGTCTTAAGCCTATCTTCTACCGATTTCTTGGACTGTAATGTCTCTTATGTTTATTCAATAGCATTCAACTTAGACCCTTTATCCTTAATCACAGATTTCTTCATAGAACTTGGATTTAGTAATCCTCTCTCAATCAGCTCACCTTTTTTCTGTTCAGTTAATTATCTTAGATACTCTTTAACCTGACTATTCAGTATTTCTTTGCTAATCACGCACTCCTTAGGCTTCATTATCTCCAGAAACTCGTTGATTTCTATCTTCCTGAAATCATTTAGGATCGGATCCCAGAACAAATCGTGTATCTGCTTAGTATTCATAACAGTTGAGAAGCACTTCCTAAAATTTTCTATGTTTATGAAACCATCCACATCATGGTCGATATTCACAAATACATGTATATAGTCTCTCATCTGCTGGAAGCTTAATACCTTTTAGTCAGTTTTCTTTTACTGCAGCTAAGGCATTTTATAATTAAGCACAGCCTTAATAGTGACTTCGTCTTCTTCCTTGACCCAGGCCATCATTTTATTCACGTGTTCTTTAGTTGCCCCTGGAATAATCTTGTAAAGCATCTCCTCAAAGGATAAATAGCCATTCTAATCCTTATCTAGGAAGTTGAACAGTGAAACTGCAATTCTTCTCAAATGATCTGATTTCGATATGGATCTCACATACTCTAGGTTTAATTATAAAAATTTTGATTGGTATATTACGATCAAGAGTCAACTGCCCAGTATGATCTTCATCAATAGAATCAAAATATTTCTTAAAGCATAATATATCACTTTTCTTATAAGTTTTTCCTTTCTGAATGATTATAAAGAACAGCTATGTTAACTTACCACAGTAAGAATATTCTTTTTGACTTAGTTGCCAATTGCAGGCAACTTAACTTATTCTCTTATCAAATTGTTATTTGAATCATATTTCTATGAGTACATAGTAGTGTTTTGACTCAACAAAGGAGCTCATCGGATGCTTGATTTCATGTTTTTGAATTTGTTATTTTGATCAAACTCATTTTGAATTTGAAAAGCTCTTTTACTTAGATATTCTATGGCAATGATAAAATAATGGTGCGACTTACTTTAACTATTTTGGACTAGATCAGATCTATTTCTTTCGAGCTTAAGAAATGTTGAATCTTTCTCATCAACTTCCAAAGGAGGCTCATACCTACTCAGCATTCCCATTATTTCATCATTTACCTCTATCCAGTGGCCAAGACTAAATTGTTAACGAATATCAAATTACTCCTAGATCGATATCTTTCCATCTGGAACTGTCTCTGCTGCATTATAAATCTAATTAAGATGAGTTAAGATATTGACTGACATACGTATTCTCCGAAGCCTTCAAGCTTTTTGTTTGACGGCATAACTATATCTGTATATCTTGCCCACCCAGCACAAAAGCATATAACCATTATAGAAACCTCATTAATATCTAGAGCTTAATTCCCATCGAAGTCAAATAAAGTATAAATGAACCTTATCTTTTAGAAGTAATTTGCATAGGCAAGCACAGCCATTCCACAAAGCACTTCATAGATGTTGACAGTGTCATGATTCCACTTTTTTATTTTATTTTCCTTGATAAGCGTCCCTAGTATTGATAGAGTTGAAGCGTTATGAGGATTATAGACCTTTTTAGACTTATCAGGGGAGAACATTCTACCCTCGGTGTGGGCTCCGAATGTTTAGAAAGAAGCGAGAGATTTGCACTTCTAGAACTGCTATATTTCCTTTTAAGAGTTCAGATTCTTATGCAGTTTCGCAAGTTTGCAAAATACATAGTCTGATGTTTATTTCTCAAGGTTAAGTAGTGATCTAAATTCCTCTTTGTTTATGTGGAGGGACATATCATTAAGTTAATGCTTTTCGAATATTTAGCGCAATTAACTCAGGTGCCCTAAGAAATTATGAATATTAATGCTTACAATTTCCAAGAATCGTTAGTTGCTTATGAGTTGGCAAGTTAAGTTTTAAGTATATTTTCGGTTCGGGCTTTTCTTTTTCTCCAAATAAGTTTGCTCTATCAGTAGGAGTTGGATTTTAAGTCTGGTTTTAATTATCTCCAGTGGCCTCTCCTGTCTTCTAGACAGCTGCTCCTTGAATTTATGGTAAGTTATTAGACTCTATGTTATTATTTTCTATAGATTCTATTTATCCCATGATTTTAATTATATAAATTATTTTTAAAGTCACCTATTGTATTAATGTTTTTTTCTTAGTGGGGTTTTGGGGTTTTGGGG